GAGCGCGTTCTGGGAGGACATCATATGACGTCCACTCAGAACTGGCCGGCCGCAGTGCAGCCGTCATTTGGCTATCTGCGGTCGGCAACAAGTTAAACTTACTACAAATTTTGTCTATAATCACTTAATACATTGCAAAAGGAAAAAGGGGATTTAAAGCTCAAAATGTCAGATATTGATGGAAAATATTTATCTGACTAAAATGGTAATTGTATCTTTTTTAGTTCTTACTATGATTAAAAATGTGAACTACTATAAATTATTTGTAAAACATACTTTGTAACAATGCCTAATACCAGGAATGTATTTTATGGCTCGCACACACCATGTGCTCGATCACGTCATTTCATCTTTCACACCATATTGGACAGAAAACTCACAGCAATGCATTGAAAATGTATGTGCATTTAACATACATTTTTATGTACATTTGCAGTGCATTAGTTGTGTTTTCAAGGATAAGTTCACCTTTTAACAAAAAATAATAAATGCACTTTTTTGCAGGTAAAAAAATGTGCATTTATTATTTTTTTTGTTCTAAAGCATTGCAGCAGTGATCAGCAGATCACTGATACCATGCAGGTATCCCCCGTACGAGATAGCAGATATACTGACTGATATATTCACTTATATAGTAAGTATCTACTGAGTGCCAATAGTGTCTACAAAACCCCAAAATAATACACTTTCTCCCCCGAAAGTCCAAAGTATACAGTCCAAGTCTTTTAGCATCTAAATATGCAAATGTGCTAAAAACCATGAATATGATTTTCTTATTTAGTATTCTTCCTCCAAAATGTGAGAATTCTTCTCATTCCAATAAACCTCAAAAGAAAAAAAAATTATATTCGCACATAGTGCATTATTCCCAACATGTGATATATTTCACAAAACGCACTTCCAAACTCGTGACAAATCGTGCAAAATTCTACCTTGTGTCCACTTCTAATTAACTGTCATCCTTACTCTTATCCTGTGTAAACTTGGAAAAAGCTTTAATCAATTCGACTTTTAAATCACTCTGACGCATTTTGTCACTTCCGAGTTCATCAAAGGCGTAGTGTCGGACATATACCGTAATGTGCAGCGCTGAGCGAACTATTGGCGCTTTATAAATACTGTATAATAATAATATACCGGAAGTTGCGGAGCGGCCATTTTGGAAAAGGTTTTACACACCATGCTTATTTTATGAATGAATACATGCTGAGATACAAGAATTTTGTTTATAAGTGCAATTTTAGCTAAATAAATGGTCCACTTTCTACTATTACCTACTACACTATATTGCATTGTTCTGATATATGTTATGATGCAATCGGAGATCATATATACTCTGGAATGAGAAGAACTCAATGATGGTTGATTCTTACCATCTAGTAAGGTGCATGATATAGGAGGCGGCGGTTTATGTGTTCACATACACTGGTGATTTGTGGAGACATGAGGGGAGCACAAGAGTGTATATATGCTTTAAGGATATTACACTATATTCGATTTTTTTTGGAGGTGCATCTCCTATGCTGAGGAGGACGGACTGAGAAGTGAAATCACAAAGTAATTTAAAAGTGGAATTGATTAAAGCTTTTTCCAAGTTTACATAGGGTAAGAGTAAGGATGAAAGCTATTTAGAAGTGGACACAAGGTGGAATTTTGCACGATTTGTCACGAGTTTGGAAGTGCGTTTTGTGAAACTTATCACATGTTGGAAATAATGCACTATGTGCGAATATAACCTTTGCTTTTGCGGTTTATTGGAATGAGAAGAATTCTCACATTTTGAAGGAAGAATACTAAAGAAGAAAATGATCATATTCATGCTTTTTAGGACATTTGCACATTTAGACGCTAAAAGACTTGGCAGATACTTACTGACAGGAAGGCTCAATGAACTACCACGGCGCTGTGAAGCAGCATGGTAGTTCATAGAACACTACAAGCTGACAGCTGTAAAGGCTGCTGGGACTTGTAGTCTGCTCATTCACAGAATACTGTGAATGAGTGACACAGCCAGCTGGGCGGAGCTACGCACAGCCATGTTTTTTCACAATTGTGATAAATGGCAGGGGATCTTCTCCTCCCCGCTAGCTATCACAATGGGGATTTGGGGGGGTGCGGGGGGCTGGTCCTATCGTAACTTGTTACATCCAGAATATGGGTGTAACATGTAGCATGTTACGAAAGGTTAACTTTCCTTTAACATAATCTGTTGTGAGTAGACAGGTCCCTGGAAGGGTCACAAAACCAGCATTTTTTTTTTTTTTTCAAACCTTTACTTTCAGTTGCATTGCATTTACATACATTCATGTATGTTACATTAAAATGCAGATAGGTTGCAATTTTATACAATGTACTGAAACACACATGTACACAACATTGCAGTGTGAACAAGGCCTTGACGTGCTTTGATCCAGTGCTGAACAACACAAGTCAAGGCACATGATGTGAAAAGGCTTTTAGTGTCTATGGTCATCAATGAACTGGAAAAATGCATTTCATAACAAAACTTTATTAACATTAAAAATAAAAACAGAATAAATAAAAACTTGGTTTGTCTAAAAAGGTCATATTTATTTATTTTTTTTAATGAAAATTAAAGACTACTAGTGGCATTTTTATCTCATTTCCAGTTACTAGTGTTACCTCTATATTCTATATATCTCTTTAGAAAGTTTTTGTCAGAAGAATCTAACAATAATATAAAATACGTCACACATCTCTCTGCATCTGGCAAATAATAGAACTATTCCCATAGTATTAGCTGCAGTGCAAAGGAGGAAACACACACATTTGAGTATGCTGGCCTTACTGGAACATGACAAAAAGTAGAATTCTGATTTGTATAATTAGTGCAGTGGTGCAATTGCCCATAAACTGCACACATCGCGTCCACTGACCAAATGTCTTTACTAGGAAACAAAAATTGTAAAATCAGAGATTTTTTTGTGCATGTAGGAGTTAATAAAACCTGAGAAATATGTAAGCTGTGATTGCTTATTTTACTTTCTGAAAATGGTCATTGACTGATCCTCTGACTTTAATACTTTCTGAGTCAATCACCTGGAACAAATATACAGATTAGGGCTCTGAAATCACTTGCTGCATACTTGTTCTAGGCCAATGACAAAGTGTGGAAACCAAAGCAGGTAAACTAGTGCATTCTGGAAGTGGTCAGTAAAAGGCAGTCCACGCTTTGCCCCACCCCTCAGCTTTCCTTTAACCATTTGAGTCCTATGTGGTGTTTTAAAACCCACAGGAGCTACGGAGACAAATACCATAATAAGAAAAACTTTGTTGATTATAGTCTAGAGAAAATATTTGATGTGTGGAAGTTGTGTTAACGTTATGTTAGGGGAAAAGTACATTTTTCTGTAATTTTTTCTTGACCGCTCCATAACAGCACAACTCTGTGGGTCCCACCCACACATTACACTGACAGGATAGTAGCTATAAATTTAAGGCCTCCAGATTCTATCTGAAGCAAGAGATTGTACTCTCTGGACAGTCAAGAAGTTAACAACCTTGATGTGGGTAAAATCTTGAAGGCTTACACTGCAACTGCAAGCAATCCCAACAGGGTCAAATACAGGCATCAATGCCTTGAACAGGATTTTAACATCCTGGATGGTTAAAACAATTTCTCTGGCTTACATGTCTAAAGGATTGGCAATCTTGAAGGGTGTGACAGCTCATTCCACCTAAGTGTCTCAACATCATGGGCATCAGCATGCAGAGTCTCATTTGAAATGATCTGTAACACAGCCACGTTATCGACCATTCATATGTATGTGAAGCATTGCTGTTTAGAATGGGCAGCTTTAACCACTAAAGTTCAGTAGAAAAATTCTCTTTGGCATCCGGGTCTTGATTACATTTTCTGGAATTTATCCCAACCTGTTGAGGCTAGCTTTTCCTAGGGTTGCTGAAATAAAGCTGTCAGAAAACAAAAAGGATAATTGGTCTTCATACTGCAATTTTCCATTCCTGAGGAGTAACATGGCAGCATAGCTTCCCACCTAGCCTGAGGAGTCTAGTTACATAACTCCAGGTTGAGATTGGGGGCTTAAATTCATAACTACTATCCTGTCACTGTAAGGGGTGGGTGGAAGCTACACAAGTGTGCTGCCATGGAGCCCAGCAGGAAAGGAAAATTGCAAAGAATGAAGAGCAATGCTCTGTTTTCTTATTTATTCCCAATAAAAACAAGGAAAAAAAATTATAATTATATATATATCTCCACACCTGCCATTAAATTAAATCCCTACCTGTCCAGAATAAATAAAATGCAATATGTTAAATTACACTACAAACATTAAAAAGGTATAATGCATAGGACCAAGACATAAAAAAAAAAAAACTCTGGGCCTTAAGGGGATTTATGGAGAAAAAGGCCATGGAACTCTAGTTAAGGCCCCAATCCTGCAAAAACTGTTTTTCCCTACCCTTCCCTTCAATCTCAACTTAACAGGTCTCATCTCTTCCCCTTACCTGGTGAAGGAAGCTATACTCAATGGTTTCTGGTCCCCCGCTATCACTGGTTTGGTGTGGGGGGCTAATCTAGTGCATCAATTCACGCAGGCAGCGACATGGACACCCGAAGATTTGGGATGGCAGTGTCACATGACTTCAGGTAAGTCAAAAAAGGGGATTTGGCTTTTTTTTTTTTTTTTTTAGCAGCCAAAGAGGTATATAGAGCAGGGTGGGAGGGAGAGGTGGCCAGGTAGTGGCATTTATCCCAGAGAGGGACTAAATAGAAGGCTGCTTAATTACAAAGCATTTTATTGGGGTAAGGGTTTAAAAACGAAACCAACCAATAAGATGCTAGTTTTCAAATGTTAATCTGCAGTTCCCCCCTTTTTAACTCCAGTTCTTATTAAACCAGGTGGTTCATTCAGTTATTATATGACCAAACAGTAATACATCAAGTGCTTTTATGAATTTGGCTTTAGTTCTAAAAAAAGGTATAGAAAAAGCAGCAATACCCTCATACAAAATTTCTGTCAGTTTTTAAAAGCTCCGGCTTTGCTCGCCTTGTTAATAAAATTCTTCAGAAGGTCATTGTCCATGTTACAAAAGGCATCCGTCTGGGTAACCATAGTCATATGATTTATGCAAAATCTGAAGCAAAACTCTTCCAGATCCTAAAAAACAGATATTCGCGTTAGATACAATGCCAAACATAAGCAAGAATGTTCTAAATCATTCTACTACTACTACAGTATGCCAAATAGTTTTCACTAATACTTTGTAATGAATAATACTTTATAATAATTTTCTGTAAATAACATTAGCAATATCTTTATAGATTGGTTCCTGTGTTTCATACCACTTTTGAGGAAAAAATGTTTTAATAGCTACAGAATGCAAACATCCATTTAAAATCAACCCTAGAGCTTTCTGGATGAGAGGTACAGCCATGTGAAAAAGTAAGTAATCCTCACAGAAATTGTTAACATTTTCAACATATTTGAACAGGCAAACATTAGATCTTCATTGAAAGAAGGTCTACAAATAATGATGTAATTGCATTAAAACATATGGAACATTTGCCTGTTCTATCATTTATTCAACAAAAATATCAATAGATTTAATGCTGTTGAAATACAACTGTTACTTACCGTTAACGGTATTTTTTAGGAAACCTTCCAGGACGGTACACCTGAGAGATGAGAGGCTCCTCCCTACAGGAAACAATTGACAGCTGTTAAAAGTCCCCACCCTTCCCCTCTTTCCTCAGTTTGTAATAAAATAACTCCCAAAACTGGTCCACAAGGGGAATAATTCTACCTAGGTATTCACCATGTACTACTTTTAGGCGTTTTCTCCCTTAACCGGGTCGGAAGTAGGCCTGCCATCCTGGAAGGTTCATAGAAATACCATTATCGGTAAGTAACAGTTTTATTTCTCTTCTCACCTTCCAGGACGGCACAACTGAGAGGATAATCAAGTATCTGCAGGCCTACCTTAGGGTGGGACCACTGCCTGCAGGGCCTTCCTGCCAAGTCCTGCTTTGAGTGTACCTTCACTATATAAATATCTGATGAATGTATCTTAACTGGATCCTATGGCTGATCTGCTCCACTGATGTCCTGCCTTCTCCACCCGGATGCAGGCTCTAGCAGAGTGTGCTTTTACTCTTAAAACTGATGGAATCCGAAGAAACCCTGAATTTCATAGGTTAGAGAGGTCCACTGTCTAAACTATCTAGCAATCATGGCCTTTCCTGCCTGTAAATACTTCTTAGGACCCCTTAAAGGACTAAGCGGTAACTTGTGCTGTGAAACAAGGACACTACTTGGGCAAACAAAAAGGATCTTGCTTAACGCTACTCTGTATAGGCGAATGATTTAGGAAAGGCTCCCTGACACTTTGTGGAACGTCTTTTTTTTGTTGGGTCATAATGATGGCTAAAAGGAAGCCCACTTATGGGTAATAGATTTGAAGGAAACTACTTCATGGGCTCAAAAAAGGCTGGACAAGTATGTACCCAACCACACTATGGCTCTCTCACACCCGAATGCTGGTATGCCAGCTATGAAAGTGCTCTATATACACCAAAGCTCCCTATTCCACAAATATCAGGTGTCCTGTCTGATGTCTGAAACCTGATTCCACTCGAACACCATTGAGTGCTTATTGGTATCGATGCATGTTCAATTAAGCAGATCCCTGCTTCTGGAGATTTGGTCCTTAGTAGCAATTCATATTCGCTTGCTACATCATGTTCTGCACCGAGGACACATCTAGACATCTCTGATGTGCCGCCAGCTAAGGTAAAACAACAAAAAAGGACAGACAGAAAGGAGACACACGTTTAATGTGTAATTCAGATGTGTAGCAAAGAAAAGCAATATAAGCAATATGCCCAGCAAGGACACTAACCTAAACTGTGTAATTATGCTGTGCAGCTAAAGCAATAAAATATAAACAGAAAATACACAATATAGCCTTCACTGTTGTGTATATAGATGTGCCACAAAATAAGGCAATGTATCAGTATGGAACAGAGTGTACTTCTGATGTCCTTCTGCATTTCTGATAAGCAGCTACAGTAACATAAACACATATAAACAGAAAAGACACAGAAACCTCAGTGTTGTGCAATTTTAATGCACCTCCAGCTAAGGTAATATAACAGATATAAACAGGCCACAAACGGACATCCATGTTGTGTATTTAATATGTGCAGCATATTAAAGTGATATAACACCTGTAAACAGAAAAAAAACACAAACTGATTTCAATGTGTATTTCTTTCCGCCAGCTAAAATATTATAACACATAACCAGACAGGACACGAACTTCAATGTTGTGTGCATTTCTAATGTGCAGGAAAATACTACAAACAGAAAAAAAAACACAAACCTAAATGTTGTGCATTTCCAAAGTACAACTGGGTAAACAGGGACAAATGCTGCCGAAGCATAAAGCCCCAGTCATGGTGTATTGTCTAAGAACTACCCCACAAACAGCACTATCTATCGTAGTTATGGCCTGGACTCTAGATACTCATCCTTTATCCATCCATCCAGTGGAGGGTCCCAGATGATGGAAATCTAAGGTGAACACCCCACCATTGTAGTAACTGTTGGTAACCAGCAATAGATTATAGTTTCCACCACTAGGCTTGAACCGTACCAAAGGTTTTGATTTGGAATAGGTGCAAAATATATAGTCATGTATCTCAGTGAATTCCCCCATCCACCAAAAGAAAGGAAAGGAAGGACATGGCAATGAAAACTATAGTCTGCTGCAGTGGCAGAACACACTGCATTGTCTGGATCACTGCTGTACATCCAGGGTGATCCTGTGAGAGATGCTTGGTCTGCAGGTTAGTTCAGGCCTCCCTATGCCTGCTTCACAGGGCTACCATCCGATCCCTCCAGCGCCTGTTTTCTGCCTTTTGCCACAGGGCTCACAAGAGAAGGACAGTGGCCAATTTCACCTCTCCAAGTTGCTGTCCTTCCTGGAAGGCTGCAAAGTTAGGCCGTGTGTCCTACTCTGTATCCGCAGCACACACACATACCTCTCCGAGAACCCAAACTTTCCCAAAAGAAAGGAAGGGAAGGACATGGCCATGAAATCCAGGAGTGGCTAGCAGGTAGCCTCTCCCTCCCTTGTACAGTTGCCGGTACCACAGAGATGCTGTAGCGGTGGAACACACGTCCCTGGCTACTGTACATCCACGGCGACCTGTGAGAGACACTTGGCCTGTAGGATAGTTCAGCCCCTGGCCTCTCTATGCCTGCCTCACAGGGGTACCATCTGACGCTTCCCAGTCTTCTGGTCAGTGAAAACAACAAACATTCCGCTGTGTAGGGAGAAACACAATCAATACTGAGGATCAAGGGGAAGGGTGGGGACTTTAACAGCTGTCGATTGTGTTTCCTGTAGGGAGGATACTCTCAGGTATGCGGTCCTGGAAGGTGAGAGGAAAAAAAAGTAATTACACCCTTGGCCGCAGATGCTAGTATTGCACTCTTTAGCAGAAATTACTTCTTGTAGGCATTTTGCATGTTTGCCCACCAGTCTCTGATATCAGCTCGTGATTCTTTGGCCACTGCTCTATGCAAAATTTCTTTAGTTTAGCTTTGTGGGCTGCCTTGCATTTACGGTCGAAATTAAGGCTAGGTTCACATCTATGTAGGTTGCGGTTGATGCATTTTTCCAAAGCGTGTTGTGTTTTTGAACACACATTTTGATGGGGTTTTTTTTTTTTGTACTAGTAGGAAAGTATGACAGTTCTGTTCATGTAGTGCAACTTTGATGTGACTTTACACTCTCTGGCACTCAAGGAGCATTAAAGTTGCATCAAACTAGTGCAAGAACCTTTGTGTCCAAAGTCGCATGTTAGGGTTAAGGGCTATGGTTAGGGTTAAATGTTAGTGTTAGAGTTAAGGGCTAGGGTTAGTGGTTATCATTAGGGTTACCAGTAATTGTTATGGTTAGCGTTCTAACTCTAACAATTTCTACTAATCCTAACTCTAACCCTAGCCCTTAACCATAACATTTAATCCTAATATCTAACCCTAGCCCTTAACCCTAACCTTAAAGTTTAACCCTAACCATAGCTCTTAACCCTAACTGGACTTTGGACACAAAGGTTCCTGCACTACTTTGATGTGACTTTGATGCTACTTGAGTGCCAAAGAGTGTAAAATTGAATCAGAGTTGCACTACATGAAGAGAACAGTCCATTTCCGATGAACCAAAAAAAAAACTTGCATTTTTGGTGTGAGTCCATCGAATTCTATTATGCAAAAAACACAATCTGCTGCAGGAAAAAAAGTCCCTGACTCTTTCCAAAAAATGCAGCAGCTCAAAACGCAAAATTGCATTTCTGCAATAGGTGTGAACCAAGGCTCAATCCTTCCAAAACTTTTCAATGGGATATGAAGCAGGGCTTTGACTAAGCCAGTCTATAACTTAAATTTCTTCTTTCTGATCAATTCCTTGGTTGATCTGCAAATGTGCTTCAGATCATTTTCATGTTGAAAGATTAACTTCTGGTTCAACTTTAATTTTTGGACAGATAGCCTCATATTCTCATCAAGCACACTTCCAGTGAACTATACATTTTGTACACATCAGTGATTGCAGCTTTTATGAGGTTCTCCTAATATATGCTTTATTTGGCAGTCTCCAAATATCACTACTGTTACTATGGCCAAATAACCCTTCCTATGATTCATTAATCCACAGTACATTGTTCCAGAAGGCCTGGTCTTTGCCTATATCTTCAACTGCAGTCTTGCTCTAATGTTCTTCCTAGACAGCAAAGGCCTTTCATGGCAATCTCTGATTTTAGCTGTTTAACACCAGCTGTTACAAGAGTTACCTGCAGATCCCAAAGTTACATCTTGGGGTACTTTAAGCCTTTTCTTTTTAGCATCATACAGTCAGCTCTTGGGTCAGCCAGTCATAGACACTTTGCAGTAGTTTAAAATCTATGCCACTTGTAGATATTTTTCCTAACAGTGGAATTGTTTATTTCCCAATAATTTGTCAATTTTATGAAGACCCTTGCCAGACTCAAAAGCCCTTTGTTCTTGGCAGGATGATACCACACCCTTCTATAGCAAGGAGACCACTCCACCCTAGTTATACAATGTTTGAATAAGACAAAGTGCACCTACATACT